AGTGCAAGCCACTGGCCCCCTGGGCTGCATGCCATGTAGGCACCGCTCCCCCATACTGCTCTGCAGGCATGAGTGCCCTGTCCCCACCTTCAGCTCCATGGCCAAGGGCTCCCCTAGCACTGCAGGCAGTGCCATACCCTTCAGGGCAGGAACAGGAAATGTAAGCCACAAGAGGAAAGGGAAGTCTGAAGCTCCCCAGCTGCTGCTGCACTCTGAGTGATGGAGCCAGGTGCAAGCCCAGGGGACCACAGGTTAACCCCTTATAGCCCTTATGTGGCCTGTGGGCTGCCAGTTGGACAGCCCTGGTTTAATTCAAACTAAATGTTTTTGAAATACAACACAGACTTACAGAGTTGGATGGGGACTTGGGGACTTCAAGGGTTATTCTAAAGCCCTAAAAATCTGCAGTAGCAAGATAAACGTTAAGTGCTGTGACTTTGAGCCAGGTATTCAAAATAGCCTGTACTTCTTTGCATGTAGCTCCTGTAGCACTTACAGATGCGATTAATAAAAAGGGATTTTTCATACACAGTACCCATATCTATACAAGACGCTGACTGTGCAGTAGCATCATGTGGCAGGAAGCGTGGTGTGATGCTGCTGTGTTGGAGTAACAAGTTAGTGTGCAGTCAATGTCATCTAAAAGCTGTTCAGTGACACTACTGCACAGTAACTCCAGTTACTGCACAGTCATTTAGTACTTGTTTATACAAGTACTAAATGACTGCACAGTAACAACTGCTCAGTCAGTGTCTTCTGTAGGCATGGCCACTAGGTATTTCTTAAACTTATTGTAAAGGACCAGGTTATAGGTCGTCTGGATTAGTGGTTAGGCCACTGAGGAAAGGCAGAAGCTAAGGCATAGTGTACAACATGGGCCGAGTCAGGGTTTGGGAACCAAGTTACCAGATCCAGAGGGAAGTTCAGAGGCAGAGTGCCAAACACAGGCAAGGTCAGGGTCTGGGAATCAGATAACAAGTTACCAGATCCAAGGGAATATCTACAAGCTGGAGTCTAAAAACAGAGCCCAGCAGGGTCTGGAACCAGGAAAGCCAGAGAACACAGGAGCAGAGGCTTACCAAAGCCAGACTTAATCAAAACTCTTGGCTGGACTGTTGCCACAGCTGGAGCCAAATGGGGAAGCTCTCCCTCTGGGCAACCAGACAGTGGGCAGCTGGAGTCATTCGCCAGTCAGTGCCCCAGAAAAGTGTTGCCCACCAGGCAGTTAGTTCAGGCTGGGCTGCCTGTTAGGTCCCCTGACAGTTATGGGTGTACAAAAACGTCTTAAATGTTAGCTTTGCTGTGGATAGGATGAACATCTTGCTGTCAACCCTAAACATTCATAAATCTCAAGTTTGCCCTCCTCTCCCCTCAAAGTAATTATAAAAATAAAAGATAAATTTTGAGTCCTTGTGGTTTGCCTTTGGAATTTTGTCTTCAGCAAGTGCTCACATTCTTTTTTGCAGGCTTTTCCTGTGCAACCACAAAAGCTAGAAACTTTTTCTGAAAAAAATCCAAGTTGCCTCAAAAACCCTGAAATTTTCTCTCATACAGTCACCTGACTTCAGGATCTTGAACCTTAAGAAAAACCCCAAGTCCTGCAAAACTTAATAAAATTAGCAAAATTGACAGTGGTGGATTTTCTGTATAAGGGCTAGTTCTTTGTTTTGTGCTTGAAGTAACTTTATGAAGAAATAAGGAAAAGAAAAAAATCTACAAAAATTAAGAAAATATCAGTAACCGGAAGGAAAATTATAGTTCAATGACCATATCACTCTACTATACTTGGATATCCTATGATTCAAGATGCATGTGACACATGTCAATGAAAGTATGATGATAGGGTCACTGAAATAAAAAGTTCATGTTTAATTTCATTATGTGATCTGTTTTTCTTTTTCACTAGATTAACTTTTGTCCAGTACTTTTAAAAGTGTTAGAAGTGTTCGGTTATCATTTTTAACCAAGGACATTCTGTGCCAAAAACAGCACTGCTTGAGAATTAAAATATACAAAACTCTATAACCACAGTAATCTTAACTTTTGATTTTCCTACTTTTTAAATCCTCAACCATAGTGTTACATTCACACAGTATTTTAATTGATATTGATATTTGTTAAGACCAAATGCAAAGGGCTACTGGCATGTTCTCTATGAATTTTTTACGTATAGTTAGACACCTAACTTAGCAATATTCAGACCCAGTAGTGAGCCCAAATTAATTTCAGGTCCGAACATCCTTACCCTTGATAGCTCAGGCCCATCTTCATTTGTAGTACCACAGGTCAGTACTGTTTCTAAGAAGCTACTACAGTAAATGAATACTATTCAGCATAACATACTCTAATGTCTATAAGGCTATAACTTTTGTCACAGTCCTACATTATCTGCTTGTAGACAGACTTGTTCTTCCCTGCCAGCAAAGCAGTGTCTGGGGCTGGATGAAAATTGGCATCATACTTATTTTCAACCTGCTGACTATAAGGCTGCCTTGTTTTCTCTTCTGTCACTGGTTGATAAAGTTGGGAGGAGCACACAGAAGCCTCATGTTAGAAATCGTTTTTTGGCTTTTGCAAATCACTGATCACACCAACCTGAACAAATTCACATTGAGAAGGAAAAAAAATTGGTATGCAGCTTGAGAAAAGGAGGAAAGAATCCTGTTCTTGTCTTGAGTTTTGGCATGTCCTGTTTGCAGTTTGAGTGGGAGGTCATCAAATACAATGTAATGCTGTAGCAATATAGACTGAGCCAGTCCTGAGTCTTATTTTTTCTAATAGTTGATTAAAACAATTTTTTTCCAGCAGGGTGGGTGGAAAGCAGTATTAATAAAAACAAACAGAAACCTGCAGAGAAGAACTGTTGCCATTGTATTTTTTATATTTTGAACTTAATGGGTGGGCAGTGAGTATATACATCTTAAATATTTCACAGATCTCATGAGGAAATAAAAAATACCTTCCTTTGTATCATGGGAAAATCCATAGCCAGAAGCTGTGCTGCTTCATTCAAGCTTCCTGAGGCTTTTTTCCCCCATCCTCTGATATTCTAGGAAGCTTCCATTGTTTGTCTGGGTCTTTCACACAGTGACTGGGATAGAGGAAAAAACATTTAAAGAAAATAGGCAGGTGTCCATGAAGAACGCTAACCACTGACGGACAGGTGTTTGACCTGCAACTGCCTTTGCCTTTAATTGGACTGGAACTCAAGTTAATACCCCTTTAAACTGGACAATGTGGACCATACCAATCCCATGCCAGAGTACCTGTCTTCCTTGAAGTCCAGATGCATCTTTATGCCAAACAATGTGATCCTCCTACACTTTCCTTCCTCCTTGCCCCTTTGGTTTTTGTTTTGTTCCTACCACATGTCAGGTGGGCCTGCTCTTACTCCTGGGCTTGTGGATACTGAGTCAGATCTTGAGTCTGAACTTCCTGTCTGTGACTGGAAGGAGTCATAAATTTTCCTGTTATTATTTCTTAACTAAATTTGCGTTTGATTGTCTCCTACTTGTTTTCCGATTGTCTGTCATAATCCTCCATCACTTTTTCCCATGGCTGTTTGTTTTTTTTTACCGATTCCTTCTTTATCACATTCCTCTCCTTGCTTTTCCCAGTCCACCCTTGGTCATCCATGGTCCAATCCCATCTTCTGCATAAAGCTGAGTAAAAAGGACCACAGTGTTATATCCTCACACTTGTTAGGCCACCTGTTAAAGTAGAATCTAAGAACAGCTAGCAGCATAGGAGCTGCTGGTACGGCATGCCTAAATAAGGGCAGTGTCAGTTTGGTAGATTCAGTCTTGAATGATCACATCCTGCTTTCTTCTCTTTATCCAAAATACCTGGCTTAGACACTTCACCTTTCACAAATAAAGAAAGGCCTGCTTATAGAGGCACATTAAACTCCAAATCCGTTATCTTTGGAAGTTGCTTCTAGATGGAATGCTTCTGGGGCAGTATGGACAGTTGATGAGAGATGATGATTATAATCCCATATAAAGTGTAACAAAGCCTTTTAAAGCAACAATTGGTAGTTAGATGATGTTCTTCATGCTGTATAGTCACCGTGTTGTAATTATGATGGTCTGAGGAATATGTGAAAAGCAAGATTTGGTAATAACTTTTATTGGGTCAACTGTAGAATGTCTTTCCTCAAGTCTGGGAAAACAGCAGATGCAACCTAGATTAAATACTAGGTAAAAAATGATACTCATTTAACACTAAAATTTAATTGAAAATATACACTTAAAGAAGGGGCAGTATAAACCCGTGGAGCACTTTGTGCGCAAAAACTTGTCTAATATCTCTCCCAACTATGTCGTTCGTCCAGTAAAAGGTGTGTTTTCACGTGTCCCACATACCCTCAAATATGGCATGCACATTGTTTTTGGAAGGCAGCTTATAGAAACAAAGATTTTTTCCAGTCATGCCCTAGAGGTAGCTTTTTTTCATGAAGGCATTGTGCTTCAAAATAGCTGATAGCTTCTCTTTCCAGTGTTAACCCTTTCACCGCCACTCCGAAATGGAAAAGTTACTTCTAATTTAAGAGTGACTGTGAGAGGGTTAACACTAGACTGCACTTCTGTTTGCTGAGAAAAAAGCTGGCAGCCATTCTGAAACACTGTTTTCATGCTTCTGTTCCTCCATGCCTCTATTCTAGCAAAGAAAATAGTCTTCCCTGCTTTGGGATGGGTCGGACCTTCTTCCCAGGCCAGATCCAATCTCTTTGCAGTCTGCTTTTTCACTTGGTTAAATTCTAAACTGCTCAAATTAGTATTTAATGACATTGAGAACTTGGGCAATTTTAGCACACCAATCCACGATCACAGTTTGCAAGTTCACCTACTCATAACATTCTTTCTATTTAGTTTCTTTAGTGCAGAGGACCAGATCATTTTCCACAACAGTCATTTGGAAGTGAAAAGATTTTCTGGGCAAGCTTCAAAGAGAAGAAAGTGACTAAGTGTCTTGAAGGGATCTGAGCTGGAGTTCCAGCCAGATGAGACATCTCAAAAGAAAGAACTCCTCCCAGCTGCTGAGTAAGAGGGAGAGGACAGAGAGGAAGCCAGAATTGCAGGATGAGGGTAAATAAGGAAAAGTGGAAGGTAGAGAAATGTTTTTTGCATGGCTAATTTGTAGGTGTTTTTTCTTAGGAAGAGGAAGCTTGAGATATTGGAATGAAACTCGGGATACATTGATTCAAGTCCCTGTTCTGCCACAAATGTCCTGTGTTCCTCAGGCAAGCTTTATAAGTTGTCTATATGTGAAGTCACCCCCATTTCACAAGAATGGAGCTAGTCCTGTATCTGCCAGGATGTTATGAAGATAATTCCATGGGACTTTGAGGCCTCTGGATGTTATTACAATAAGTTCCTAGATGAATAAGAAATCAATTAAATTGATGGAATATGGGGTGGTAGAAGTGGTACAGTGTCTATTTTGAAGTAGAAGCAAGTGGACATATTAAAAAACAAAAAAAATTGAGAGTCATTTTGAAAAATAACCATCCCTGATCCATGGTTACCATTTCCACATTGAGAACATTACACTGACTTCTTTATTAAAGGCATTTCCTGTTTCAGTGCCACCAGCCAGAATCATTTTATCGGATGCATTTTTTAAATCTTTGTAATTTTTGTAAGTATTTTAAATAAATTTATCATAGTAAATCAAAAGCTCAAAGCTCAAACAAAATGGATGAATTTCAATCTAGCATAAAACATAATGAAGGTATCCAAGGTGTCGGATCATAAAAATATAAAGGGAACCCTGCACTGCTATAAAAGCATATCCAAAGGCACAGACCAGTATTATACCTAAGGGGGAAGCGGGCAACCAGGGTACCAGTCCCAGGTGCTGAGTTAAAGGTGTGATGCAAAAATATCAACCACTGTGCTGCTGGCTTTCGCTGCTGCCTACAGCCCAGGTATTGATGCTGCCCTGTGCACCTCTACAGGAGTGCCTAGGTACACCTCTGGAATAGACCTCCCTGAATGAACGCGAGGGGTCGTTATATGGATCTCGGATACAATAATACCTCCTAAGTTATCCGTATGGATCACAAGAGGGACAGAGACATTTAAACAAAACCAAGGAGGACACTGGCTGTCTGCTCCCTCATTGTCCACTTTACACAAGTCACTTAATTTGATCTATGCCTTAATAACACCGTCAACAAAATGGAGAGAATTATCTCCTTTCCCTGGGAGGAGGAGGTGGTAGTGAATCTTAATTAATGTTGTAAAGTGCCTTAGAAAGTGCTGTAGAAATTAAAGGTAACTTAAAATATAGCTACCAACCTACAGGCTAGGTACAGACATTACACGTAAACCGGTTTAAGTGATCAGAAACTGGTTTAAACCTTTAACAGAACAGACATTCCGTGCACATAAACCAATTTGAAAATGGCTGAAACCGGTTTGAGATAAACCTGGTTGAATGTAGTATCAGATTTAACTGATTTGGGTCAAACTTGTTTATGCAATGTATATCCCAGACCACTTCCTGGTTTAAATTAGGGCTCCCCAGCATCTGGGCATGCTCTCTGGCCTGGGCAGGCCCCTCCCCTCTGCTCCCTGGCTGGAGCTCCAGCAGTGACTTGCAGGCATAGCAGGATCTGCCTGGCTTCTCTGTGCTTTCCCTGCCCCACCTTGCTGCTTAAGCAGAGATCCCTTCCTCCTCTCTCACACAACATGGACTGTAGCCAGCATGTGGTATGGTAGATAATGCTAAGAGGTCTGTGTGTGGCAGACAGGACAGTATCTGCTTAGAGCTTTTTGGAGCAAATTAGCAGGTAGCTGGTAATGTCCCTGCATTCCTTCTTTTGGAAAAAGCTGTTTAAAAAGAGCTTGAACTAATGAGCAAGGCTTTGTTTTCTGATGGGCTGATAAATGCTGATAACAGAGCTGATAAATGCTCTGTTATCAAGGGGTGGAGCCCCTCCCTAATCAGAGCATCCTGCTGGGGCCTGGCCATGCTCCCCTCAGCTCAGCACTGTAGAAGAGAGGGAGGGCTTCTCCAGTGCCCCTCCCCAGCTTCTAGCCTGAGTTACTGCAGGCACGTGCCAGCATGTTTTCAGTCCAGAAGGGATGTCCGAGTGGTTACAAACTGATTCAGCCTAGGCAGGTTAGACTAACCTGCAAAGATTGAATCAATTCAGTCTCAGCCTTTTTTAATGTCTGTCCCTAGCCTGAGGGAGCTCCCAGTTCAATCTCCGGCCTCCTAAACTTCTGTTGCTGCTGCTGTTGCTGGAGTCTCGAAGCTCCCCATCCCTCCTTCAGCTTCTACTGCCTACCATCATCTGTGCAGGCAGAGAGGTGCTGTGTGGCCTGCAGGACTGAGGGAGCCCATGGCTAGGGGGTTTGGTGGACCTAGTACTTTTGCATATGGTGCACTGGTGTACACAATGTGGCTGTGAGGGAGGGATCCAAATCAGCACCACATGCAGCTGTGGCAGGCAGCCCGTAGGATATACCACTGCAGGCCTTCAGTCACTCAGAAGTTAAGAGAGCCCTGACTTAAAGGATACTTGAAATGAGGCTAAAATGCAGTTACACTTTTTTGTCAAAGCTGATTTTATTTAATAAGTGCAGAAATTTCCAAGGCTTTGGGCAGAGAAAGGGGTTAGGTTTTTTTTACTGAACGTTGTAACTGAAATATTTGCAAAACTTAGGATTTCCTGAGGTATACTTACTAAAACCATCTTTGGAAAGTAAATTACATGCATTTTTTAAAGAAGTAAAAAGCAGAATGCAGACATTATTCAAGTTTTTTATTTTAATTTGTCACAATCCCCATATCTTTCTTTTGCAGTTGAATATGACAAGGAGTTTACACCTCACCAACAGCATCACAAGGAATTCAAATTTAATCTCTCCCGGATTCCAGAAGGAGAGGCTGTCACCGCCGCTGAATTCCGCATCTACAAGGACTGTGTCATGGGGAGTTTTAAAAATCAAACTTTTCTTATCAGCATCTATCAAGTTTTGCAAGAACATGAGAACAGGTACCTAAAAGATGATTGCTGCTTTTTCTGTTAACCAGCATAACTGTCAGCCTTGGGAATGGAATGCAAAGGCTTTGGGAAGGTGTTGCTGCCATTAAGCAATATATTATTTTATAAGATGAATAAGGTTTCTTACCATTCAGTTGTCTTTTTTTGGGGGGAAGCTGATTTGGTGCACTGCAAAATGGACTTGGATTGAAAAACTCCACAGTATCTGCCCTGCCCCCAGACAATATAAATTTGTTATCAAATAAACCAGTAGTTTAGGATGAAGCTGTGTAATTAGTCCAAAGATTTTATAGCATTAAGCAGAAAAGCTAAAATGTCCATACTCCCTCTCAAAGAGATACTAAAAGGATACATGATATACCCTAGCTTGGACATCTGGAGTAAAACTGCCAGAAAAATATTGATATTCAATACTGTCCTGATTCTCCTCTGGCTTGCACCTTCATAAAGCCAAAGGAAAACAACTTGATTGACTCTCTGGAGTTACACTAAGGTAAATAAATAAGAATGAGCATCTGCAGTTCTGGTATTCCATTTATGCTTCAAGAGGTCAAAAAATGAAAATGTTCTATGCAGAAATATTGGATTTAGATACTTGGAAATTTTATCTAGATTATGTTCCAGGAATTTCTTTTCCTCTAAAGTTCAGCTAGCTGATGATTGATAATGAGGGTGATGAGGATAACAATAATACTTGCAAGTCCAAGTACTGCTATGCCACCTACCTACATGTATACATTATACATATACTTCTACAATACACATGTAGACAGTTATATTTAAACTGGTTTTCTTTCCAAGTTTTCCCATCATATTCTTTGAGCACAATTCAATGTTATCCCATCTCACTCATTCCAAACCTCTGTCTTTCATTTGATTCATTTTGGGCAGACTTCAAACTTTTGGTGGTTTCCACTATCCTAAAAAAGTTAGAGATGAGCATGAGCCATGAATTTCAGCTTTAGGCCCAAACTTTCCTAAGAGTCAGAGGGGATTTGGATTCAGCATTTAGGATATGCTTACTACCCGATAAAAACTAAACAAAAATGTAATGAGATGTAGAGCCTGATAAATTGTTTCCATTAACTTTGATGAGAGAAGTTAGATCAGGGGTGGGCAAAATACCGCCTGCGGGGCCCCTAAAAAAAATGTAGGAAATTAATATTTCTCTGCCCTTGGTTCCTGTCAAAAATGACAGGGGAAACCCGGTGGGCTCCAACAACAGCAGGGCCCGCCTGGCCCTGCTCCCCAGCCAGAAGCCCCAGCTGCGGTTTCTGGGCTGGGAGCACGTGGCTGCCCCGGTGCAGGAAGCTCAGGTAAGTGGAGGGGGACCCCGGGCAGGAAAGGAGCAACGGGGTGGGGTGGGGAAGCAGCCCCTCCCTGCCCATGCCCGGCGCCCCGCACTGCAGCTGCTCGTAGTGTGCGTGGGGCTGCCTGTGCCCACTCCGGACAGCCCCACACAGGCCGTGAGCGCCTGCAGTGTGGGGCACTGGGTGTGGGAGGGGCCACTTCTGCCCCATGCTTC